AAAAAAAAAAATGTTTCCTACAAGGAGACCCACCTGTTTTTCTGTAAAAGTTTTAAATTCCTCGTTTCCTAGGGGGTCCCCGCAGCAATCTTGCCCCCGCCCCCTGTACGGGTGCCACCATCGTTCTAATGGAGGCACCCGTGCGTGCTCGTGCCTGCAGGGCCTGTGTGCGTCCATAGCCCTGTGGCAGGCCACGCCCCTTCCCTCTTTGATCAATGGCAGAAGGAGCCTATGGCTCCTCTGCCATCAGTATCCTCACTCGGAAGTTCGAGGTACAGATGATCGCTTCGGGACCGGCGGCTGGGACGAGAGCACCTGACAGGTAAGTTTGGGGGGACTGGGATAGAAAAAAGGTGCTGGGCTGTTTTTACCCTAATGCAGAGAATGCATTAAGGTAAACGCCCAGACCTTAATACTACTTTAATCTCCGCATGCAGAAGGGCTTCTTCACCGTAAGAGTTGTGGAAATGTACAATAGACTCCCCCGGGAACTAGCTGTAGTCTAGTTAATACAAAGCATGGAAATCTCAAACATAGCAACAGTTGAGTATTCTTTTTACAGTGTAGCAAATGCATGAAATTATTTTCAGATTTTGAGATCATAGCAAATTCCAAGTCCCCGACTCAATAGATTGGTTGGTAGTCATGTGCTTCTCGGCTCCATCTAGTGGTGGTAGTGTTGTGAAAATGGCATTCACCCAGCTACACGCTGGGTAAGGATGTAGAAGTCAGCCCCGTAGAATGTGAATAATCCATGACTTCGCTCCATTGTACTTTGTTTCCGCACTCTCCGCTGCTTATTCAGCGTCACATTTGCCGTGTTATAAATGAGAATTTTTGCCCCAAATCTCTTTGCATTCCTTCTCTGCTCCTGCTTTGAATCTGGGTAACCCACGGGAAAGGTAATGATTAAAGTCCAACCCCGGTGTACAATTGCACCTGCACTTTGCAGTTAATGTTTTTATCAATAAGCCCCAAAGTAAAGTCTTCTTAAAGGAGAACTATGAGGTGAGTGATTTCCACTCACCTCATAGTTCTAGCCGACCTGTGACAATGAGACTGTCACTGGTCGGTTCAGTAGATCGGGAGGTGAGCGAACACATACCGGAGTTCGCTCACCTCTCGATCCTGTCACGGCAGAGAGCAGGGGAGGGGCTGGATTCCCCCCGCTCCGATCACCCAGCGCTGACTGGCGGAACGGACGGGGAGGGGGCGGGTACAGCTGGCTCTGCCTCTAGATAGGCAGAGCCAGCTGTCACTCACGCAGATGGGCGGATCTCGACATTGATGTCGGGTTCCGCTCCGGCTGCGGCGTCTCAGTATATAGAGAGCTGTAGCTCGCGGTATACTGTGCTTAGGGTGACGGGAGGACGCTAGTTTGTGTCCTCCCGTTACCCTGAGGAGAACTATGGGGAAAAGCCCTAACCCCATAGTTCTCCTTTAAATGGGTTCAATTGAGGGCATCAGGTGGGCGGTGACAGAGCGCTGTATTGTGTGTCCTGGTGGGACTCGGCTCCCTTTAACCAGACCAAAGGTGTGCGCCACACCACTGATGTTCATTTGCCCACTCCGTGTTTGCGGGGCTGTCTATCCATGTACTGAGCATGCACGTGCCAGTGTTCTTGCTTCAAGTATACATTTTTGTTTTTGTATTTTTGAAGTGCTTATTTATAATGAATGTTTGCCATTTTGTGAGATAAATAGGCAAGCTTTACGCTCCTCCCCCCCCCCATTTTCTGCTCATTCTGTTATAACCGTTCCCCATCATATCGGAGACATAAAATCAGTCGGAAGCTTCTCCCTGCAGAGGAGTCCCGTGTGCCACCACAGCAGAGGGACATGTAGTTCTCAGTAGAATACAAGTGCGGCGCCCATTCGTTCTTCCTCCCATCCCTGTTACTGAATGCATGTATGGAGCTTTGCCGGCTCAAATGTAAAAAAAATCAGTGACACGTAATTATCAGTGGGGCACAAGTGCCGGGATGTCCACGCGCTTGTAGTCCATTTATACTTCCTCCCGTGCTGTAACTGAAAGTTTGCACCTCGGTATGGACAGTGACTGGAGGAACAGTATGCAGGAGCCAGCGCAATGCACGCGCAATCCACTGTTTAGGTTTTTTTATATAGAGGCCAGCTCTGACCATATATACATTTCAGTGAGCAGAACAAATATATAAATATATTTATAAACATTGGGTGCCTAAGGGCTTGTTCACACCATGTCCAGACCAGAACAGTTTGTTCCCAGCCCAAGAAACATCCCTATGGTATTTTGGGGCTCTCTCCACACCAGTGCAGTGCAGACAAAAAAAAAATACTGCTGGTCTCATTTTGTCTGGTCTGCAACGCATGGGAACGCATCAAAAACACATGCAAATGCACTGGATTGGACTGCATCTGAAAGCTCATTTTAAGCTAAAAAAATAAATAAATGTGGCAAAAATGAACTGCGTTTGCAGATCTGCTCCAGACATTGTGTGAGCAAACCCTAAAACACGCACTTATCCTTTTTGCCATGACCTAACCCTCCCTCTGCACAGATGCATACATACCCTGATCCAATGGCTGCGGCCTCCATCCTTGTTTACATCCTTCGCCTCAAGTCTCGCTCTCATAGCCATGCCTGCACGTTGCAGCCCTATAGATTTTTACGGGGTTATCTCCATTCATCTTGGAACACGGCACCATAGAGGGTTATGGGGCTGTAATGCGCAGGGGCGGCAAGGAGAATGAGACTCATGTACAAAATGTTCCATAGTCATAGCAACATTAGCAACAAACTCTTTGAGATTAATTCCGTAACAAAGACTAGAGGACACCACCTAAAACTAGTAGAAAAAAATTTCGAACACAAGGGGCGAAGGGGGTTCTTCTCAGTTTGCGCGGTTAGGGTCTGAAACTTGCTGCCTCAAGCGGTAATTTCCGCAATTAATATGGAATCATTCAAGAAGCTTTTGGACGACTTCCTGAGAGACCGAAATGTACAGGTACTCTTAAGAATGAGAACACTCATGGACTATACACACAAACAGGTTGGACTTGATGGACTTATGTCTTTATTCAACCTCAAATACTATGTTACTTGCAGCTCTGCATGTAAACAAACACCTGAGGCCACTGCATCAAGGTAAGAATGCATCTATGGAGGGGGGAGAAGGTTATGGTTAGGTCAAGGCAAAAGGATCAGTGCAATTTTGTCTTAAAGTGCAATGATTCTTTTAGGATCGTTTCCTCGAAAGTGTTTCCTGGCTGTGTATTCTACAAATGTCCCTCATTGATGTGAGCCCAGTTGGGTCTTGAACGCTGGTCATGTTTTGTGTCACGGTTTGTGTTGTGTAGTAAATGTATCAGAACACCTCTTCTGTTTCCTCCTTTCCTTATTATTTTTTGTCTCCCCCTCTTCCTCATCCTCCTCTCTGCTCGCTCTCCTCCTCCCTCTGTTGCTCTTTCAGCTTCCCCTGGGAATGGAACCTTCCTACTCTCCTGTCCCCGTGGCCCTTGTCCATCCTGTCCCAACAGTCGTAGCCAATGGCCCCTCCTGCCTCCCCGCCCACCCGATACCCTCTCCACACCCGGCTGTTGCGCCCGCCCCCGCGGCTGTGCCCAGCGAGTCTGGAACCCCCTCCGGTATGGCGGAGCCAGAGGAGGAGGTGCTTGTGGACTGCCAGTCCATCCACTTCAACGAGAATCCCTTCATACTGGCTAACAAGAAGCGGCCAGGGGCCAGTGCAGTTGCACTAAGTGGGCCCCCTACTGGATACGGCAAGGCGGGAGTCCTGAAGACCACTGTGTACTCCTGCAAGAAGGCAAGCAACACGTTTGTGTGTGGTTTTTTTTTTGCACGCGTGTTGTCCCCCACATGTGAAGCACGTACATCACTTGTCGGCTGGCATTGTCACATGCTTGGCACACTGGCAGGATGACCACTGCCCGCGCACGGGTCCCTGCATGGTGTCCTGTTGGCTGGTTCCATGAACGGTCCGGAGTACTGTGTGCATTGTGCCATCACGTGGCCTGCCTTGTTTGTACACTAGCCCAGTTTGTCGTCCCTCCTGTGTCTTCTCACCAGCTTTTGCTCCTTGTCACGGTTTCCAGCATGTCATTGTCACGTTTGTAATGTATGACTCCCCGGATGCTCACGAGTTTGTTACTTCTCTTTACCAAAGGAGGCGCTGTTGTGTGCGGGGTGGATGGTGTCAGTCCAATAATGGGGTCTGTAGTATATATCTTGTATTGGTGCTTTGTTACTGAATACTGTTCAGCATTTCTGACTATCCAACGCTTCATATCTGATTGGTACACGTCTACGATTGCCGCCTCTTAATCTTCGGCCGTGCTGGTAACATTGGCCTCCGTACAATGTGACTGGGCAATGAACGATCTGAAAATGTATTTCTGGATACTGGTTACATATATGCTGAGCAGCTCACCCAGCGCCAAGCAGCAGCTGCAAAAGCAAATAGAATGTTGGGATGTGTTTTAGAGGGAGATAAAAAAACATGAAATGCTAATATCTCATCCACATCATCAACTTCCTCGTATACATCAATTTAAAGGGTTTCCACTTTTGCAATCATACATTAGATAGCCCCACTATATGTATAAGTCGTCATATTCACACAGCATAGCTAAAAATTACTTTTTACAACATATTTAGATGTGTCTGTGTTGCTGGAGCCATTGCAAGCTTCTCTCTCCATTTCCAAATGACAGGAAACTGTCTTTCCCCAAAGAAAGACCGGGGACAGACTAAGATTCCCTTCATTTAACTTTCAGTGCTTCTAGATTTTTAACTCTTTGTTAGGACAGGCAGTGTTAAGATCTAGCTCACAACTGATAATGAGATCTGCCGGCACAGTGCAGACCGGGTTCATTATAATAACCTCTACCTGCCTGTTGCTGACGCACTACAGCAAGGCTCATGGCATGCCCGTTGCTGCCGCACTACAGCAAGGCTCATGGCATGCCCGTTGCTGCCGCACCGCAGCAAGGCTCATGGCATGCCCGTTGCTGCCGCACCGCAGCAAGGCTCATGGCATGCCCGTTGCTGCCGCACCGCAGCAAGGCTCATGGCATGCCCGTTGCTGCCGCACCGCAGCAAGGCTCATGGCATGCCCGTTGCTGCCGCACCGCAGCAAGGCTCATGGCATGCCCGTTGCTGCCGCACCGCAGCAAGGCTCATGGCATGCCCGTTGCTGCCGCACCGCAGCAAGGCTCATGGCATGCCCGTTGCTGCCGCACCGCAGCAAGGCTCATGGCATGCCCGTTGCTGCCGCACCGCAGCAAGGCTCATGGCATGCCCGTTGCTGCCGCACCGCAGCAAGGCTCATGGCATGCCCGTTGCTGCCGCACCGCAGCAAGGCTCATGGCATGCCCGTTGCTGCCGCACCGCAGCAAGGCTCATGGCATGCCCGTTGCTGCCGCACCGCAGCAAGGCTCATGGCATGCCCGTTGCTGCCGCACCGCAGCAAGGCTCATGGCATGCCCGTTGCTGCCGCACCGCAGCAAGGCTCATGGCATGCCCGTTGCTGCCGCACCGCAGCAAGGCTCATGGCATGCCCGTTGCTGCCGCACCGCAGCAAGGCTCATGGCATGCCCGTTGCTGCCGCACCGCAGCAAGGCTCATGGCATGCCCGTTGCTGCCGCGCCGCAGCAAGGCTCATGGCATGCCCGCCATTATATTCATCATAGATCTCCGCAACTCTTGAAGTTCAGTCGGCTGACCCAGCATGTCTCACCGCCTGTGGCTGTTGATGAGGCATCTGACCCGTGCGTGAGGTCAGAGGAATATGGTGGCCTTTCTATGACACATTTCAGCAGGTGGAACTCAGCTGTTCTGTTGGTGTAAGGGGGGAAGGGGGTAATGGAAGGCTTTTGTAATAAATCACACATCTAGGCCAGTGTGGTCTCATAGCCATAAAGGGGCTTTTTTTTTAACCATTCTGATAACTGGTTTCTATCCCCATTGTAAAGGACTAGCGTGCAACCCTAATGTGGTTGTTCAGTTATATGTGCAGTTAGGAGGTCCCCTGTTGTATTCTCATCTCTTGGGACCCCCATCAGTGAAATGGGGGGGTGAGGGGGGGCATGGTTCTTGGCTCTGTTCCGGTCTTCCCCGGGGTGCTCCCACTCAACTTATTCTGGAAGAGCTGAAACTACAATATGATGAACGCGGAAACTGGCTTTCCAGAGAGCGATGTGGTGCTGGTAATCTAGTCTGTAATTTTACCCAAGGAGTCAGATTGCTGAGAGCAAGTAAAGGAACCTCACTATCCTTATAACAAACATGGTGACCAGCATGGCATTGTGCGGGGTGATGTACCCTTTGTTAGGACAGGCCGGGAGGTCTGTGATTGATCTGCTCAGGCTGAATATAATCCGGGAAAATCTTCTGGCTTGGTGCCGGACTTCTCCTAATCTCATCTTTGTGTTTTCTGCCTTACAGACTCCCTCTGGAGATTACACAACTGGAAATAAAAGGGACGTTCCAGGTTCCCCCTGCAGCCCCAGCGGCTCGAAGGTGAGAGTCATAAACCTCCATGGGAAACATCTACTGTGTGTAAATACGTCTGCACACACCCGGTGTACTATTCACACCACTCAGATGCAATAACATCTCCATTGATTGGTTATATAATCTTCCTGACTCTGTTCTGTGTGTGTCAGGCTGGCCCTCCTCGGTCCTGTCCCCTCGGTGGCAGGGAGACGCGATTTGTAAGTTATTCTGCACCCACCGCCTCTACTTCCTGCTTCCAGAAGGGGCGCTGTAACTTTAATTGGGCATTGCTGTACTGGGGGGGGGGTCATGTGACCTGCATGCGTCTGGTCGGTTGTGGGTTTCAGACCAGACTAATCTGTCCATCCAACGTGGGGCCAATTTATAAAGATCCGCTGGATAATGCCTCTTTGTTATGGTGATAAATTACCTCCATCATGAACCGTTATGATGGCGAAGGGGCGTGTAAAGAAAATGGGTTAAAAAGTAGACTGGTAAAAAAAGAAGGCAAAGTGGGGGTAGGGGGCGGTTCCTTCTCCAGAACTGAAGATAGCAGATAGTGCCGGGTTTTGGCGACTTAAAGAAGAACTCCGTGCAATTTACATTAAAGCTAAAATCCGGGTGCCAAACTTTAAATATATTCCTCAATGGCCACAACGAATGTAAATCCACTTTGTGAACACCAGATGCCTTTACAAACCAAGATAGTACCGTGTAATAGTAGTTGTGACATCATTACTTTGCTGCACATAGCCTGTGCAGAGAGCAGAGTTGTCCCAGCAAGCTCCACCCACTAATGGGCTGCCTGCCGAGAACTACACGAAAGGGTGGAGACGAGACCAGTTTCCCTGCACAAGGAGAGAGCAGCAGTGACCGCTCTTTATTACAGGAGGGGGTGGAGACAAGACCAGGCACTCTGCATAAGGAGAGAGCAGCAGTGACCGGTCTTTATTACAGGAGGGGGCGGAGACAACACCAGTCACCCTGCACAAAGAGAGCAGCAGTGACCGGTCTTTATTACAGGAGGGGGCGGAGACAACACCAGTGACCGCTCTTTATTACAGGAGGGGGCGGAGACAACACCAGTCACCCTGCACATGGGGAGAGAACAGCAGTGACCGAGTCTTTATTACAGGAAGCTTTACGTTTAAACTAGATTACTGCACAGATCTGGAAGACGTACACAAAGCACACAAAGTAGGAATACACATTTAGGGAATATTTGCTGATCCCGGAGTCCAGCTTTAGGATCATGAAGTAATACATTAAAGGTGTTGGCAGACACTAGGCTTTCTTTTTGTAATAATTTTTATAATGACACATGGGTTGCATTCCCACGGGGCTTGTATGCCCATTCTGGGGATCCTGCGTCAGGAACCTACAGATTCTTGTGGGTGGAATCCCAGGTGTACCCGTTCATATGTAATCGCTGTACCCCTTTAAGTTGATGCCAGGGTGACTGCGGCTGCATCTCATGTACTCATGCATGGCACCATTGCATGTGGTTCAGGAGAGAAGATTGTCGCATCTATCCTGCCTCCCGGAACCACATGTAGGTGTATCATGCGTGATTACATGCGGACTACTGCTGACAGATGCGGCCGCTGTCAGCCCGCCATTCACTTGAACAGCAGCCGCATCTCAACGGGCACACTTGGGAGTTGGATAGTGATGACGGAGGGTTAATGAGAGGTTACATGGGAACAATTGTAAGGTTGCTTCCACTGACATTACATGCAGATGAAAGGTCACTGCTTAGAATATGAAGAGTTAATACAATGTAACGATGTTACATGGTATGTCTCAGAGAAGCTTCTGAACGTGTTCGTACACTCCTGTGATATAGATCAGTGCTTCTTAAAGTGTGGGTCGCGAGCCCATATGGGGTCCCACAAGTGAACAGGGGGGTCGCGATCTGAGTCCCCGGCCAGGACCGCCATCAGGGGGGTACAGCCTTTACTTGTGTGAGGGGCCCAGGCGGCCGGGGAGGCCTGGGCTCCAAGCAAGATTTTTTTTTTTTCTTTTCGTTTAATGTGCAGTGTAGTGTAGTTTTTAAGGTCGCATACCCCCCACCTCTGTTCACTTGGTACCTTCCTGAGCACGTGCATGCAGGAAGGTTTTTTTTGTGTTTTTTTTTTTTTTACATTGACGGAGCTTCCTTTAACCCAGCAGAAGTGGAGCACAGCTGCTGGAGGTAAAGATAAGGAGGGAGAGGAATATAGATCACATCCATGCTGTCAGTTTGCTGGTAATATTGGGCGGGGTGTGAAGGGGTGCAGAGATGATCAGGAAGTACACCCAAGTACTTTGTAACCATTTGAGGAATATATATATGTATGCATATTCCTTTAAATGGTTAAATCTCCAGTCAAAGCTTTTTTTTTCATTTTGGGATAGTAAGAAAGAGTAGAACTGCTGTCAGATTGTAAATGATATAGCACACCCGATTTAAGAAATGTTCCCCCAAATTTCTGCTCAGTCTGACACTTTGAACTAAACAGCAAGGGGAGATTTCACCTTACTTCCTGTTCTGTCTGAAATCCTTTGATAGGGGACGCAGATCACAGTAAAAACTTGATAGTTGTTAAAACAATCCCTCAATCAATCCAAATTCTGAAATCTAAGATTTGGTTGGTCTGAACTATGAGATGCTGGGAATGGGACGTGAGTTCTGCTTGCTGATGGAAATGTGGGAACTAATAGAGCTGACTATTAATCTGGGTGATGGCTGCAAACCGGAGCAATATCCCCGAAATGCCCATGTGTAACAGTCTGCTGGCTTCATTCTGGGTTCAGGTTTTCATGGGCTTGTGGAAAAAAAACAACTAAAATGGTTACATACATGTCACATGTATGTCATGGTGCTGTGCTGCATGCGGAGACTGTAACTGATAAAACCGTATGTTCTGCAGGATCTGTCAATGTATTAACTGTGCATTGTATCACCGTGCCTTCTGTCCATAGTCCTGTACCTCTCTCTCCCTCTGTCGGGAGTCCTGTCTCTCTCTCTCTCTCTCTCTCTCGCTCGCTCGCTCGCTCCCTCCCCCCTCTCTCCGGCGCC